CAGTGAATGTCCATTATTTTAACATCTGTGCTCCAATTATCGTTTGTGTAAACACAAACCCCTCCACCTCTGCTCTTCCCAGATTGAATAGACCTGTCTGCTCGATGTACTCTGCATCCTTGTAGTTCAATTACTTCCCCTGGGATGGAACAGCCAAGCCATGTCTCTGTAAAGATCATAACGCAACAGTCTCAAATATTTTTCTGTAGGGAGATAGTAAGTTCCAACTCCTCAATCTTGTTGGGTAGAGATCTAACATTTGAGACAAAAAGGCTTGGCAATGCAGGCTTGTGAGGATTTTTGCCTAACCTCACTCGTAGACTGGCCCTGCAACCTCTTTTCTGCTTGCGTTTTCTCCGTGTTCTTTTCTTCCTGACAGGGAGAGCAGGGGGAGTAACCCCCGGATATGCAGGCCGTCTTAAAGGCTCAGCTGGGATGTTGTAAGTTGAGACCCTCGATTCAAAGTTGCAACCTTCTCTGCCAATAGATAATAATTCTTGTCGACTGTAAATTACTTGTGCCTGAGCATGTAGAGTCCATAATAGCCGCTGCAAGTGCTTGCGCCGCCATTTTGACCAACTGTCAACTGTCAACCTCCAAAGGCCATCTTGACCAACTGTCAACTGTCAACCTCCAACTTGCAGATTAAACCTATGTTTACCTCCCAAAGACTAATTATACAATGAAGCAAGCTAATCTGCAAGAAACAGTGATGAAAAAAAGGTCATGTAATGACAGATGCTTTTCCCTAGTGAGGAGAGCACCATTTCTAAATAAAAGCTACATGTATAATCTACGTTTAGAGTGATTATTATTAAAAAGATCAATGCTGCAGAAAACTATTTCAGCCAACATTTGAAAACCAAGCAGCTATTCTTACTTGGCTGAATAATCTTACCAGGTACCCTCTTTTATCAAGATCAAAAAGAAATAAAAAACACCATTATGCAAAATGTTCATCACATAACCTTTCATGAAAAGCGTCCAGGCAAGTATGCACATGCAGTAATCCTGCTACGTTACAGTTCTGTTTAAAAGAACCTTTATTTGGAAGGAGGTAGGTTATGCTGAACTGCACTTCCAACCAGATGACATTCCTTGGGACTGGGAATGGCTCAAGCACAAGACTTCTACTATATTATCATCTACACTACTTTGGTGAGTCTTCTATTGCACATCAGTGGATGCTGTGGGCTTCCCCCAGGAGATACCAAGCTGTCTTTCCTGAACTGGCTGCCTCCCAAGGTTACTATTACTTGGACCATCCAGTCTTTCTGGATGGTCCACCTTGGCATCGATGATAGCCTTCATCCACTGCTGTAAGGCTTTCACCCCTCAAGCCTGAACTGTCTCTTTTAGTTGCCGTGTCAGCTCCTTTAAGACCTCAGCCTAAGCATCTGTATCCAACTCTCAAGGTGACCCTACTTCCAGAGTTGAAGCATCACAGGCTCCACCACACACAGCACCCTGGACTCAAAGATTTCGGCCTCGGATTCAAGATGCCAACTTCTTGATCAGCACCAGGGTCAGAATCCAACATTCGATTCCAAGCCTCAGTTCCATCACACTCCTTCAGTCATCCCACATCAACTCAAACCGGACTACCCAGCTCCAACTGCCTCACTAATGACTCCATCTCTCCACCAGAGTCGACCCAGCAGGGCCATAGTCAATCTGTGGGCTTAGATGACGTGCCCAATTCCAATGCGGCCTCTGTATCATCAACAGGTACTCCCTCAGTCTTAATAACTAATCCAGAATCCGATGTTGCTGACCCTCATCCCCCTTCTCCCTCTCCATACTTTCAAACCTATTCTGAGTTTGTCCTCTGCCTAGTCAAGGTGCTTAAGCTCCAGTCTAGAATTCCTCCTCCACACTGTTCTGATCCCCATTATGATCCAATAGACAAAGCTAACACTGCTCCAGTTCACCTCACTTTGATGCCTGCTTAATGTATGTTGCTAAAGTTCTGTGAGACAAACGTTCCACAGTGCCCCTGGTTTCTAGAACGGTTGAGAGTTATTATACGATTTTTGATACAGGAATAAACTTCCTGGCCAGACACCCCACACCCAATTCCATTGTGGTTACTACCTCACAATTGAAATCTAAAGGACACCCAAGATGGACAGGTCATAGTGGAGAGTTCTGACTAAACGTGATACATCTGGACCGCAGGTAGGTGGGGCTTGTCAGCCTTGGAAGGCAGCCCATCTAGGAGAAGGAAAACTCCAATTTCAAACCTCCACTGCCTTGTGGCTATATCCACTGATGGAAAAGGCTTCAGGAGTAAACCTTGAGGCAAAATCCGGAGCCAGAATCCCAGAGGCAGTTCGTGTCGTTCTGGCAACTCCTGGAACGAGTTGTATTGGCTCTTGCCTTTCCATTGGACTATTTCAGTGACATGGAGAAGGGGGATTTGCTGCCTGGGTAACAGCCTATCCTCCATTTTATTATAACCAGGCTTCATGCTCTGGAGAGGACACTCATACAGAGCACGTCACCATGGTCTTTCGAGACTGAAGGATGCCTAAGTACTAAATGCTAGTGAGGGGAAAGCAGAATAATTATTTATTTAAAAATTATGTCCAGGAGACCTATAGGCTCCTAAAGAACTAAAGAAGACAGGGTCCTATCCCAAGGAGTTAACAGTCAGTTTCACAGTACAAGAGGGAAGAGAAAGAGGGGAAAGAAGAATGGGTAGGAAGGGTTCCAAAGTATAATGACAGTAAAGTACTGTATATTTAGGCCTCACTGAAAGGACAGTTTCTGAGAAACTTTAGAGGGAAAGAGACAGCAGAGGAGGCAAGCCAGGCACAGTTGGGCACGAGTCCTCTAAATACAGATACTGCTCCCTTTTCCATACAGGCCACTGGCGTATGTGGACAGTACACTTGCATACTCTCTTTTGGAAAAATCAAAGCTGTCTCTAATCACTAGAATCAATGGGGATATACATAATTGTTAGAGCTTGTTGTTTCATGTACCACTTCTCTGTCTTCCTCTTCCTGCAGCCTATCTATCAGTGAGCACTGTCAACAACTTCATTAGACTCTTTGGTTTTCTGTGCATTCCCATTTTATATTTTATTTCCTTCCACAGTGCTCCACTGCAACAGGGTTCTGAGCCTTAAAACAAACAAACAAACAAAAATAAACAAACCCTAAGAACTAGCTAATAACCTTAAGACCAGCAAAATGACTATGATTTTGATAGTACACAGAGGCTTGATGCCTCCATTATTTTTTTTATTTCTCAGACCTATAAAGCCGTCCATCTTTTCCTCTAAGGCTTCTGATACAGCTGTTCCCATCAGTGAAGGGGACCATTCAGTGACAGGGGGTAAGTACCATAGAGTCCCCATAGAGCAATATAGAATAGTGGTTAAATTGCAGTATTGCAGTAAAGATTCTGCTCACAACCTGAGTTCAATCCCAGACAACCATGACTTCCATTTGTAACCCTGTGATGTAAATCCTCTTTTAATAATCATAACTGAGTCTCTGAATGCTGTTTTTAAATTGAGGTTTTAAAATTTTTAATGTTGTAATCATTCCATGTATTTTAATTATTATTACAGTTTGTTTAATGTATAATTTATTGTTTTTAATTCTACTTTTTAAACTCTGTGAGCCACCTTGAATCCCCTTATTGAGAAAAAGGCAGCCTCTAAATAAGACTAATGAAATAAAATGAATGTTTTTTCACTGCTTTTTTGCCATTTTTCTTTCTTCCAAAAATCTTGTAAGAAGGACCAAGCAGAATACATCTGATGGTTAATGTTAGGATTATTCCTTCCGGAAGCTGCCCAAAAAGCCCTCCCAGGATGATAGATCTTTCCTGATTTCTGTATTCTGTTGTCCTGCCCTAGCAGATCAGGAGCAAACTCTCCTCTCTCCTTCTTCACAAATACCCCACTAGAATCATCTCTGCTTCCTTTGCCTTGATTTACCATGCCCCTAATTTGCAGCAACACTGTCAAGGTAGCACTGGTTCAGATCAACATGTCTAGCCATGTTGTAAAGAGACTGTATCCAATCAAATTATTTTACCTACCAGCTGACTAATAAGATAAAAGAATGATCTAAATGGAGTGGAGAGTTAATTTTGTTAAATGTGGCTGCTTAAGCTACTGCATTTCATTTTCAAAAGTTTACATTGAAGTAAACAATTGTGTGCCTTTGTAGCATTTTAGATACAATCTCGGGTATGATGGAAGAGGATTAATTTCTGTGGATCAAGAAAGGTAGCCATAGCAACAACTTTCTGGGGATTTTGGCACAAAGGGAAAATCTGGTCAAGGCAGATTTCATACGGGGTTGGTGGGAGAGCACATGCAGCAAGAAGAGTAACTGGGCTGATAGCCAGCTGGCAGCCCCAGCAAGGCTGTACTGCCTGGCAAAGAAGCCAGAGATTGTGCTGTATTTGAGTGAAAGACAGCTTGCAACAAAAAGAGAAAGAAGAGGTGGTGGCAGCACAAACATTCAGCAACTGCTTGTTCCTAAAGAAGGGCAGAGCCTTGTCTCATTCTACAGTCTCTAGTGCTGTATTCCCTGGTATGCCAAGGTGCAACACTAGGAGCCAGTGTGGTGTTACAAAAAGGAAGAGTAAGATGCAGACCAAGGAGACATACAAATGTAGAAAACTGCAAAAGTAGAGCAAAGTTTACCATCTGCCTATCTTGCTCAGCAACATCTACTGCAGCTGGCAGTGCCTTTGACAGGGTTTCGGGCAGAGTTCTTCCTGTTGTTGTAATGTGGCATCAAGTCAGCTCCAACTTATGGTACCCTATGAATGAGGGATCTTCAAAATGTCTCTTTTCCAAAGAATTCTGTTTTCTCATGATATGCCCACAGCAAGGCAGCCTTTCTTTCACCATTTTGTCTCCAGAGATAGGTAAGGTTTGATGTGCACTAGGACCTACCTGGTGGTTCAGCTTTCTGGCACTAAAGAGTATCCATAAAGGTCTTCTCCAACACCGTATTTTTTAAAAACCATTTTCCCTGTCAGCTCTCTTTGCTGTCCAGCTTTCACACCCATATTTGGTGACTGGGAATACAAGAGTGTGGGTGATCTTGGTCTTGGCATCAAAGGACACATTCTTACACTTGATGTCATCTGTATCTCTTATTGATGCTTCTTCATTGGTTTTTATTCTTCCTCCATTTGAATGTAGTCCGGCTTTTGGTGTGATACATTCTGCATACAGATTGAACAGGCCAGGGGATAAAATACACCCATGTCTGGCAGCTTTGCCTATAAGAAACTATTTCAAAGTACAGTGGTGGCTCGCAATACGAATGTAATTCGTTCCATAAGAATCGCTGTCTTGCAAAAAAAATCATCTTGCGAGGTTCCCAAATGTATTCGTCTTGCGAGGCATTGGTCTCGGGGGGAAAAAAGTCTTGTGAAGTATGGCCATAGAAGAAACCGTCTTGCAAGGCACCATAGCAATTGCAAAAACCAATTGTCTTGCGAGTTTTTCGACCAGATGTATAAGACAATCCCTCTTTTCTAACCCCAAATTAGAAAATTTGATCCCTGCTTTTCCCTTCCTTTTGCTAAGCCATAGAGCTTAGCAAAAGGAAGGGAAAAGCAGGGATCAAAGGGCTCCCTTTGACCGCAACTTCTCCCTTCCTTTTTGCTAAACCCTGAATGTATAAGACAACCCCGTGTCAAAGTGACCAACACTTTTCCCTGCCTTTCGTGAAGCCAAAAACAAAATGTCGCTTCTCCCTTCCTTTTTGCTAAGCCCTGTGGCTTTGCAAAAGGCAGAGGAAAGTGGTGGTCACTTTGACAGCCACTTTTCCCTTTCACGAAGGCACAGAGCTTAGCAAAAGGAAGGGAAAAGCGGCGGTCAAAGGGCTCCAGCAGCAGAGGTAGCAGCAGCAGGAGGTGGAGACTGAAGCAAAGAAGCAGACGGGCTTGGCCGCCTCTCACTGCTGCCACCACTACCTGATCACAAGGAGATGATCGTTGGAGAAGGTGATTGGGCGGCGGCGGCAGCAGTCAATGGGCAGCAGCAAGAGGCGGCTGAGCCCAGCTGCTTCTTTGCCTCAGTCTCCACCTCCTGCTGCTGCCTTCCACGTTTAAAATGATCCTCAATTTTTCCTCTAATTGTTTTAGGAAAAATTGTTGTTTTATACATGGAAAAAATAAGGTACTGTACATAGTCTATTTGATTCTATATTGATCATCTACTGATGTCCACGTGCACAACCATGCTGAACCATATGTTCAGTTGCTTAAAACATATATTTGGAATTAACAGATATTGACTTGGCAAAACTCTTATGGGTTCTGCTTCATTTCTTTTCTGTAGGGTAAATTTTCCAACAACATTTAGTTCTGTTTTGTTCCCTGCTTTTGCATTCCAGTTATTTATGATTTTTGGTGTGTGATCAATTTCCTCCTGGATGCCTGCAGAAAAGTTTTCAATTTCATCATCTTCAGCACTGGTAGTTGAAGCATAGACTTGGATGATGGTTATGTTCATACATGTTCCATGGAGTCTGATTGAAATTATTTGGTTAGATCTTGCATTATATCCCTCAGTATTAGAGCCACTCCATTTCCTTCTGGATTTTTTCATTTCCAGAATAGAACACTTTGTAGTTCACAGACAGAAAATATCTTGTTCCAGTCTTTAGCAGAACAGGAATTATCTTTTTGCAGTGACTTTAATTCATGGACACGAAGTACTGCAATGCTAATACATTCCATTTCTTGCTTTACAATTTCCAGTTTACTGTGACACATACATAGACCAGAGTAGACCTTTGGTCTAGATGGGTGGAATAGAAATTGAATGAATGAATGAATGAATGAAAACATACATACATACATACATGCATGCATGCATGCATGTATGTATGTATGTATGTATGTATGTATGGATGTATGTATGTATGTATGGATGTATGTATGTATGTATGGATGTATGTATGTATGTATGGATGTATGTATGTATGTATGGATGTATGTATGTATGTATGCATGCATGCATGCATACATACATACATACAAAAGTTCTCAGTAGCTGACTGATTGCTTTCCAATCTGAGAATTCTTCTTACCCTTCCCATTAACTGAAGAACCTGAGACCTCCCTTATAGAAAGCATGTGTTTCCTTAATTTTCAGGATTATGGTAAGAGATACAAATAGAGAGACTAGATTAGATACACAAGAGGTTACAATTTTTTGTTGGCCATACCAGTCAAGCCAAAAACTGAAGTCACCAGTACCTCTCCTGCAGACAATTTCCCTACTACAGCATGCTGCCTGTCTACCTTGTGGCCTCTTTCCTAAGGAAACAGCGTGAGCAGTGGGAGGAACATAAACTGGCTTGAGTGTGCTGCATGAAGGTATTCCATATGTCTTCACACAACAGCACCAAGAAGCTGCCCTCCCTCAACTTTCTCAAGGAAGGCACCAGCAGAAGATGTATTGCTGCTCCTTGAGTCACGCTGAAAGTACTGACTGAGTACTGCAGGGAGCCTTCAAACTGCATTGTCTACTCTAAGCAAGTCCCCACCTTTCTTGCTCCAGGAATGGCTGGCAGCTGGGTTGGATGACCTCCTTGTTTTCCTTCCAATTCTAAAGCAGGTATCAAGAAAGATGACTACCATCCCCCTCTGCAGTTTCCACACTGGGTGGAAAGACTGGTTGCCCTCTTACTATAGTGTATACGCTGAGCCTAATTACTGAAGTCTGGCTTAACTCCATAGACTGTGAAGGAACAACAAAATGAAACAGACAATATCCACCGAAGCAGTATGCCCAAAGAAGAATGATTAATTAGTGTCCAACCAGAGCACATAGAAATCTGTATTACCATCCTCAGGAGTCATAGTACTGACTGCACTTTTTTCACAGTGATAGATCAATTCATTTGGCAATTACTCTGACCAATTTTTGGCAGCAGTTTCAGAATGCCCACAGATTTTTGACTGGAATTTGTAGATACCTATGTAATTTTAAAAAAATGTTTGTCAAATTGGAAAGAAAAATAAGGTAATCCTTACATCTTTGTGCTACTAAGCACGGATTAGAATACTTTTATTTAAAAAAAATCATGGCTGCAGAACAAAGATAAAAAGACATTCATTTCTTTGTATGTCATAGCTCTTCTCATAGTTCCACCCCTTTCTCTTTGCTCACCTGATTTTAGCCAGCTGGATAGTTAGTGCTGGGGTACCCAACCCCAGGTCCACAGCCCATTACCAGGTCATGGCCTTGGCAGTACCGGGCCACGGAGACAGATCTCCCACCCCCCCTGCACATATGCCCCCCACGCACACACACAAGCACGCACCAGTGCCCCGCCCACCTGCACGTGTGTGTACAGGTACCCCGCCCACCCACGCATGCACACACAGGTGCCCCCGCCCAAACATGTGTGCATGTATGGGAGCCCTGCCCACCCACGCATGTGTGCATGGGTACCCCACGCACACCTGTGTGCAAATGGGTGCCAAACCCCCTGTGCACAGACACCGCCCACAACCAGTTTGCGGTTTGGAAAAGGTTGGGGACCACTGGTTTAGTGAGTTAGATATTTGGCTTTGGAACCAGAAGCTGAGCATTTAATTTCTCACTATGCCAGCCTGTATAGTTTTGGGAAAGTTGCACAGTCACAGAGCACCCCCAAAAGAATGGAATGGTAAACTGCTACTGAGTATTCTATATTGAAAAAATCATGGAAAGGTTCACCACCAACAGGAGTTGATCTGAGAGCACATGATTAATTATAATGCATTTTATTATAAGGACAAATTAGTTATGCGGGAGTGGGATATTGTAGAAAGAACACAAATCAAACAGACTGGAAAAATATAAGTTAATACATTTCTATCCATTTTCTCTTGTTGTTGGAGAACTGGCATTTTCTTCACCAACTTGAAGTTGCCAGCCAATCAGAAAATAAAATTCTGGATTCCCTCCACTTCATGCAGGTCAGAACAGCAAAGGGCAAGACCATTCTCTTTCCCATTGTGCTGCTTTATTTGTTTTTTCTTTTGTTTTTGTCATCTATATATTCTTAGGACCCAAGAATTTAGTTGAATAGATAATTTTTGCATAAGATTCTGCTCCAGGCCACAACTGTATGGCAATCCCATTATCACACTATTGAGAAGTAACAGTAAAAAGCATCAAATGCATACAGCCAACTATATAAATGAAATATAAAATACAATAAAAACAATGCTTGGTGCATGCTAACTTGAGAAAAATGAGGCTTGATCCCAGTCCTTTCTCCAAAAAAGGCAAAACGTAAGTACTCACCGCTGGACTGCACTTGTTGGCCCTTGATTTGTCTTCTGTGCCTTTGTTGTTGGAGCTTCTGTGCTGACCGCATGAGGGGAGGCAGTGACATTGGTCTCCTCAGTTGTCAAGGAGAGACTAATGGCAGTGGAACTGATGGCATTATAAGCAACAATGGGAACATCACATGTTGAGGATGATGGACCTAGTGTAACAACACAAACAATTGCTTGCAATCACTTCCCTTAGATTATTCTCACTATGGACCTGCACCTTAACTTCAGCTAATATGTCATGAGATAATCTGTAACAGGATAAAATTCCATCTACATGGATCCTTTATCAAAAATGTCTGAGCTCTTCTGTCATGTCCAGTGATAGCCTATCTAGCATTGGGAATGTAAGTGTATAATTGCTTCTACTTCTTTAATACTATTCAACTTAACTGTCATGCCTTCCTCTTAGGAGAAAATGGGAATGTCTGGTCCCACACTCCCCCAGACGTCACTGGATTGCAACTCACATTATCTTTCCCCATTGACTATGTCGGCTATGGCTGAGGGAAACTGCAATACAGTGACATTCCAGGGGCCAATATGCTCCCCATTTCTGCTCTAAAGGGTATAGGTAGTTTGCTGAAGGAGAATTTTATTAGTGATTGCTTTCCCTCTTCTAGACCTAAACAGCAGCAGCAGCACTGGCAGGAGGAGAAGGTATGTCACTATTTAAGGTAGTTTTATGGCCTTCTCATTTGCAGAAAATGTTAAAAATATGCTTAAAATGGAATAGTAAAAATAGTATGGGTTGGAAACAAGTAGGAAGAAGCCCAGTTTATTACGCTTCTAGTTTCTAACGTTCATAATTTCTAGAGATTCTGTTTTTGGCAGAACTAAAGATATCAATTTTAGAGTGTCATTATATATTCTGAAATATGAGCTTCATTGTAGTTTGAAAACCACCATATCTATACAAGTAAAATATGCTGCAGACTATAAGCAACAGCACAGAACTAAAATGTTATCTGACTGGGGTCATCTAGTGGATAATGTCAAAACTATGGTGATTAGAACCTAGTCACTCTGTGGATACTGAGAAACCTCAGACAGCTGACCTCATTTCTCCTAAGCATTCTCTCTTGCTGAGAAGTTTTTTTTTTTAGCTATTTGGAAAGCAAAAACATTTGCAGAGAATTAGAGGGAAAACTAGGTCTGTTAAAGCTTTTTCTATCCAAGTTTTTCCTCTAAAAATTCTCTTTAAAAGCTAGGAAAAAACCAGGTAAGCCCACCCTGCATTAAGATGTGGAGTATTTGTCCATCTCTATTAGGAAAGCACTGATCAGGTTTCGCCTCAGTTATGTTATATACAACTGACCTTAAAACCTAGGAAAAAATAGCAAATAATCCACCATGTCTAAAGAAAGTCTGACCTTACAAATAAACAAGGTCCTCCCTGTGAAAGTTTCTGAGGATGCTCTGTTTGAGCGCAGATTAACCCATCAGTGTGTATTCACAGAGGCCACGGAGGAGAAACAACAATGTCGTGGATGAATTGAGATATGAAAGCATGTGTTGTGGAGGTCTATAGACACAAACCAGTCTTCCCAGTGAAGTAGGGGGAGAATGGACTGTAATGTCACCATCCAGAAATGTTTTAGGATTATAAACTTGTTGAGGGCACATAGGTCCAAGATGGGGCATAGCCCTGTTTCTTTTAGGTACTGTAAAGTACTGTATCAGGAGAAGAAGCCATCTGAGATACCCTTGAGTTAGCTCCTTTTGCCAGGAGTGTGGATTTCTTCCTGGAGGATGGGAAAAGGTGGAGTGTGCCAGATACAGCCCATGGGTGGTAAAGCAGAAAATTCTATTACGTATCCATGGGTTATGATGTTGAAGACCCAGGCAGAGGTAATAGAGTCCCAAGCATGGATGAATGGTGCCAAGCGTATATCTGTAGCTGTTGTTACGTGAGGTGATGGTGATAAAAGGTGCATGTGTCGACCTCAGGCTGGAGCATGTCAATATTGCTGCCAAGGTTTCCTGTCTGCCTTTTTGCTTGTATTTGGCAGAGCATGAGGCTGGGGTAAGGCACTGGTGATTAGACCAATCAGAAGTCTTGGACCGCTCAGATGGTAACTTGTAGTGAGAGTAGAGCAGGGGGCTTTTCCAGTGAGGGTGGAAATGAGAAGCTCTTGGGTGGTACAAGTTTATGCCCATTTTCTTTGCATTGCTTTTCTTTTTTGTGAAAGTCTTGAATAAAGTCATCAGCTGTGTCGTTGAAGAGATCCTCTCTGTCAAAGGGGAGGTCCTCAATGTGGGACTTGGAGTCAGCTGGGAGGCCCGCTAGGCGAAGCCAGGCATGTCTGTGCAGAGTGATACTCGCTGCCATGCTCTTAGCTGCACAATCTGCCACATGCCAGGAGGAGTGGATTTGTTGCCCAGGCAGAGCATAGGCCTCTTGTTTGTTTGTTTGTTTATTTACTTTGATTTATACCCCACCCATCTGGCCTAAAAGGCCACTCTAGGCGGCTAGAGTTGAAAGGAGATGGCCGAAAACCATTTTTCTGGTGGCAGAGCAGCAATTATATTCTGAAATTTTTCCCAGATGAACTGGTGGTAAGCACCCATCATGGCTTGATAATTAACTATGTGCATGTGGAGTGCCACTGAAGAATAGATTTGTGAGCAAGCAAGCCTAGTTCACAACTTTCCTTATTATCTGGGGTGTTAAGAGCACAGCCCTTGGATCTCACTCGGACAATGGAAGAGGATGTTTAAAGAGGAACTTAGCTTTGTCCTGCTGGACCCTGTAGAAGTTATCAATCCTACGGGATATTGGTGAGATTGAGGAGGGCTTCTGCCAAGGCTAATGATAAGGCATGTTAGGTGTCAAGCATCGCCATCTCAATAGGGATGTTCATCTTCTTTTGGATGCGGGTGAAGACTGCATCCTTAGCTGGAGGTACTGGTTTAAAGACTGGCAGTTGCAATGATTTTGCCATTTTATCAGGTCATCATATGAAGAGAAATCCTCTAAGGGAGAGGGAGAGCTGGCATCCTGGATGTCAGAACTTAGGAAAAGGGGTGAGGATCCTGGGACAAGGACAGAGCCTTTCCCTGGCAGAAATGGCAGAGCTGTCATCTGGTTGTCTTTCTCTTACCAGAACAGAAGGAGTTGCCAGCAGCTGAAGTAAGCCCGGTAGTAACTGAGAGGTAAGTTAGGAGGAGGCAGAAAGACCTCAGGCGAGGTGGGCCAGAGAGCCAAGGCTTGAGTGGAAGCTGGGAGAGAGCCCTGGTGGTGGCACTGGTCTCATGGAAGGCAGACAGCAGGTTCGGAGAGATCAGCCCCGAGGGTTGGTAGCGTAAATTTCTTGAGATCGACGATGAGTGCATGTGCATGATCAAGACCTGCTGAGCTCTCGAGACTGCTGGTGGCTCCTATATGACTGGGAGGGCCAGCCCATGCTCCCGCACATGAAGCAGGGAGGGCAGAAGAAGGGTGCGTAGTAAGCATCCTCACGATACCAAGTGTTCATTAATGGAGATCTTGAACAGTGTGGTCAGTATCAACAGGGCAGTGATCGCGAGAACAATAGTGATCTGGACCTCCTACTCTCCCTATCGTGGTGTCCTGGTTGTAGAGACAGTTGAGTAAGGGAGAGGGATCTTGATTTTGACTGTCATTCATCCTTGGACAGTGGAAGCAAGGACTGCTGTTGCAGCAGACTCAGAGGCAATGGCATTCTTGGTGAGGTGGCAATACTCTGCACAGAGGGGCTCAAGCATTCACCCTCTAAGACTGAGACCTTATACTGGGCATCAATAGTGGGTGCAAAGGTAGATTCTCGATCGATAACTGCAGATCTGAAACTGCCGTGCCTGCGATGGCATCTACAGGCTGCCACTTCTTGTTCATCATGTCAATATGGGGACCGCTGTGCATTTATGGCTGCTGCGCTCCAGTTTCTTCATTGATTTCAATGGCGGTTTTGAAGAGGACAAAATGATGGATTCTACATCCAGGGCTGTCCCCAAACGACCTGACTGATCCACCTGGGTGGTCAAAATCATCCTAGGAGTGGGATCCGTGACTTGGAGGGTTTGTTCCCAAAGAAAAGATTAAAACCAAGACTGATGATCCTTGAGCGTAAAGGCAGTAAAGCTTTTACAAATTTTACAGGGCTGAACTAAACGGGCTTCACCTGGGCAAAACAAGCAGGTACCATGCCCATTGGACTGGGGGATTTTCTTGCCACAAGTGGCACTCTTTTTCATTAAGGTAGAGACCATAAATTGTTAGGAAAAGGAGATGGCACAGCTACGGGGGGGGGGGGGCGTAAGGGGAACCCTCTCTATGCAGAGAAGAGAGAAAAAAGGTGAAGGAAAAAGGGAGAGAAGAAAGCAGAAGGTTTCTCACTAAAGAAGGAAGGTGAGAAAAGCAAGACCCTAGAGCAGTCCTTCACATGCTGTCACAGCAGCAGAGATAAAAAGGACTGAGGAAAGCAGGGTGGCGCGTTTGTAGTATAGGCTAATACACTTTCGCTTTTGAGGCTCTGGAATTTTTCAAAGCAATGTTGCGCATGCGCACACACCCATTTTGTGTGCATACCTGGGCACCATGAAAAAAACCCACATACTTAAGGTTCCCTTAACTTCTTTTAACAATTAAAATCCTCTTAAATCTATCACTTAACTTGGAAACCATACTGAGTTCACCATAAATAGAAACGGACTTGATGGCACATAATACATCTTCTAAATAATGGGGCAGATTTACTTCAAAGAAAGGAAAGCATGTATAGGAGAGAATTGTCTTTTGATTAAACAGTGATAGCTATTTGGAAAAAAAAGAGAATGGGTCCCAGGTCACACACATAAAAAAGTAGCAAGATGAGTTCATGCAGGAGGGTAAGCAACCTTTTTTTCCCTAAAAAGAATTAGAACTTTAAAATACTTGTCCACAAGCTCATATTGTCTACTACTCTGCAAAATATGTCTCTAGGTTAAGGACAAATTAAAAAGTTATAACCTGTTGTTTGTAATGCCCCCTCCTATCACAAATGACTTACAGAATGCCGAATTAACTGATTTCCCAATATCAGAGATGCACTCCTGTGCACCTCTAACTGAAGGCTGTAGGAACAGTAAAAATTATGTGCAGAAATATTTAATTCATAATAGCATTGGAATATACATTTGAATAACATTACTGTATAGACTATTTGTGCTTTAAAAATATAACTCATTAACATAGTTTGTAAATGTACTGTACATTATTTTGGTTTGGATATTAAGATCTACGTAATAATAATAATAATAATCATGTTCCATCAAGTCAATTTTGACTTATGGAGGCTCTTTTCAGGGTTTTCCAGGTGAAGAATCCTCAGAAGTGGTTTACCATTCCTTCTTTCCAGGGGTTGGGCTGAGACTGTGCAGCTTGCCCAAGGCCACACAGGCTTGCTCTACTTGAAAAACACATAGTGGGCAGTTGAACTCTCAACCTCTGGCCCTCAGCCAAATACCTAAACCACTGAGCTATCCAACCAGCTAGGATCTACGTATATGCACACATGGAAATACATTTGCCACTGAGCTATCCAACCAGCTAGGATCTATATGCACACATGGAAATACATTTTGGGCATAATCCTAGAGTTATGCTGGTATTATGTATAACTGTATAGGCCACAGCAGTGAATTTCCACTAATTAACAGGTTGCCACTCTCATTTCTGACTGTGTGCTACTTGTTTGATCCCACAGAAAAAGCATTGTGAGCAGCAACTTTATTAACAAAAATTTGCTGCCCCATTTTATAGTTACATTTAATGTTTTCCTTACTCTCACCCAGAAATTCCTCCTCTCCAGCTGTCCCAAATCTATCTTGAAAATAACCAAATTGTGTCAAATTGAAATACTGACATCCAAGACTAAAACATGAAATTCTGAAAAAAATTCATGTAAATTGCACTGCTTTGAATATGCCAAATTACTTGTGTGATTTAATTCGAACACGAAACATTATCTGTTCAGTTGGAGATCCTCCCTTTAGCTCCCCTATAAAGCCATCAAAGGTCAACACCATTCCTACCTTGATTTACCTCCATCATCCTGCTGTCCTGGGGCTTCACTGCAGCAGTCACAGAGGTTTCTGGCTTGTGCTTAGCATGCGTATTATTACAGTTATTGGTGGACAAGGTCAGCAGCTGATGCTTGGAGAACTTCTTTGGTTTCTGCAGGCCACTGTCATCCTCCAGCTGAGACACACATACATGCTGAAGATTATTAGGCAAAGTTGAATAAACATTGGCTTGGTCCAGCTGTCCTGGTTCATGATTGTTCAGCTTGTAGCTGCCTTTCAAAGCAGCCCTCCTATAAGGCATAGGGGAGGAAGGAGCTCTTCCAGTGGCAGGGGGTGCAGGTACTCGATTCACTAGGTTGCAGGTGGCAGCTGCCTGCTCAGTTAGCTGCTGAGAAAGCCCTGTTATTTGCCTGGTTTGACTTAAACTACTGCTTGGCCTGAAAGTGTGACTGGCTCTTTCCACTGTCTGCCTATTCACAGAGTCTGAGCAACCATCAGAAACTGGGTGGGGAGGTATCTGATAAGGGCTGCTGGTGGTTGTGGATTCACTAAATAGGATTTTGGATCCCCTCCTGTGTTCTTCAGCTTTGCCTTTCTTGGCCGGCTCACACAGATCTGTACGCTGGTTGCCTTTGGTGAAGGCTTCTGTCTCCCTGGATGACATTTTAGTTACTGGACTTATTACCTCACAAGTCCTCTTTAAGTTACAGTTGTTTGCTTCATTCACACTTGACCCAATTTTGTCTCCGCTGACGCTAGGCACATTATCCTGGGGTTCCTCTCCAGTGACACTGCAGCAGGCTTTCCCCCAAGGCTTTCCCCCCTCAATCGTCTTTTTCCCATCCTTGGTTTCTTTCTCTGCCTTAGAAACTGGACCAGGCCCATTTTGCCAATGGCTTTTAACCATTGATTGTCGATTACCGGTACATGTTTCTTCACTGTCTGTCCTATAACTGTCTGATGTGTCTGTGGTGCTATCTAAAGCAGAATCAACATCATCTATGCAAGTCACTTCTCCAATATAAGTCTCCTTGATGCGTTCTGTGTAAACACGCTGCCGGGATGGAAGGATCCACACTGGAGTTCCTTTGGGGCCTAAGGTCCTTGTTCCTAAATCCTGCTGGGAAGCAGTGAGCTCCTTGGGTTTAAGGGAAGGGCCTCGATCTTTGCTCTCTTGAGAGAAACTAGAGGTCTGATGTGTGTCTTTCCTGGTTTGGTTTACTACAATATCTGGCTTCCCATTGGTGGTTAAATTGCTGATGTAAGATCCACAGGCAGTGCACTTCCCTTCTTCATTAATCACTAGAGGCTTTCCCTTCTCAGAGTGCCCACCGCTGGCTTGTGGAGCAAGCAACCCTACTGTGTGCCCACTGCCCTGATGTTCCCAACCGGCTTTGCCAATACCATTCTCATTGCGATGGAGATCACCATTGATATAAGCTGACAGATCTGGCTTGGAGATCAGTGGGCCCCTACCGAGGGATAAGAGAACTGAATCCAACACCCGTTTCCGACGGTGCTGCAGGCGCTCCAAGTAGCGGACTTCAGCATCCCGTGCAGACTCATCTTCAAATCGCACCCGGGATGGTGATGGCCCTCGCTTCCTCTGTTGTCCACAGCTGGACTCCCCACTAGATGAGTCACTCAGGTTTCCACTGGCACGGGGATCTCCATCCTTTAGAACAAAGTTCTTTGCATCCACCGCAGAGATCCCAGAGGCATCCCTGAAGCATAACATTAAAAAGAAGAAGCAGCAGCTGTGGAGTTGGTCAAGTTAATCAGACCTGGGCCTGCACTATCTGTTTCCAAACTTCAGACAGAGAGACACCATTTAGTTTAATGGGCATCTGTTGAAGTCTAATCAGGTGTCAGTCCTTGGGATATTATTTATGGCAATTCTACCCAAGCTGATCTCCCCCTTCTGTCAAGATTCATCCAGTAATGTAGTATGCATCTGAATGTCTGTGTTTACATCATACAATAACACCCCAATACCATTTGCTGTTGCATCTTCAAGATAGCAAAAAGCACATACAAAGCGTTGTTTAGAGAGTCTGGACAGTCATTGAATAAGGCCAGAATGCAAACAACTACTTAGGACTGATCAAGGGGCTTCTGCTTTTCTATCCCATGGTATCAAGACTGAACAGCACCCACAACTAAACTGGTAGGATGCATTATACTTTTAAAAGCAAAGATGACATGCGACATGATAATGACCCACATGACTCATGACTTAAGCACAGTAACTAACTAAACAAACAATCATGTGGTATTGTTAAATAGCTCTTGCTGAAGTCTGGGAAGATGGTGCAATATCACATGACAGGTTAAGAACTGGCCCTAAATGGGTCTCCATGTAGCATATGAATAAATTCAAGCTCACAGACAGGCAGAAGCTAACCTTATCTTGCCCTAGCCCACTCCCAAAGAAAGAACAACAAACATTTGTAAAACAGCTGTTTTTAATTCATCTCCCAAGAAAGTGCAAAGGCCTCTCTTTGATGTATTCAACTTTTTTCCAGATCATAACAGTGAATTTTAAAAGTATTAGTTGTGGCTCTTCATTACTGTTTATTTCCAGACTGCCCAGGAAAAAAAGAATCCTTCTATTTGCATAAAGGACTTCATTCCAGTGAAGTCTCCACTAGTGGCTTCTCCTACCCCTCTCATCAACTTCTTCACCGCTCCAGGATCTGGTCAGTGCAGCTTTTGAGGAGGCCACAGGAACAAAAAGGAATCAGCAAAATCTTTTTCATATGACCTTTTTTTCCTAGTAGAAGTGCCCTACAAATGGAGTTTCAATGGTTCTTGTGGATTTTTCGGGCTCTTTGGTCGTGTTCTAAAGCTTGTTCTTCCTGATGTTTCGCCAGTCTCTGTGGCCGGCATCTTCAGAGGACTACTCTGTTGCTGTTTGTTGGATAGTTGAGTACTTATGGCTGTGGGAATAGCTGTTGTCCTTTTCAGGAGATAGGGTGATGATGGTGATCAGCGTATTTTTGTTGTGGATGTATTGTTGTGATAAGGGGGAGAGATTATGTGTCACTGTGGTTAATGGGTGTCTTTAGCTGGTCTTTTTTGTGCAATGATCCCTGGTCCTTATGGCTGGGTAGAGTTTGTTGACCTTTTGCAGGCTGTATTTTTCAGTGCTGGGAGCCAGGCCTTGTTAAGTTTTGGACTTTCCTCTTTTTTGTTGAAGCTCTGTTGGTGTTTATGGATTTCAATGGCTTCCCTGTGTGGTCTAACATAATGCTTGCTGGTGTTGTCCAGTACTTCAGTATTTTGAAATAGAATTTCATGTCCAGCCTGTTTTAGGGCATGTTCAGCTACTGCTGATTTTTCCAATTGTTTAGTCTGCAAGTGTCTTTCATGGTCTTTGATTCTGGTGTGAATGCTGCATTTTGTGGTTCCAATATATACCTGTCCACAACTGCAAGGTATCTGGTATACTCCTGCAGTGG